TTCCCCGAAGGAATCTGATTTCCAAGCGTTGCCGATGATTGACTTGCTCCTTAATCCACTCCAGCTTAATTTCCAAGTGTCTTGACTTTCGAGGGATGTCCATGTCCCTCAACAATTTCAAACTGCTCTCGCTGTCAGAGAACAGAATTCCCGAGACCTCCCTTTCGGTGGATTTTCCCAGAGTATACAAAACACGTCCCAGAAACCTTCCAACTGCAACCATTTCCTGAGCTACTGCCTGCATGGCATACAACTCTGCCTCCATGCTGCTCAAACTTACCAATTGCTGATGCCGTGACAGGCTTTTGATGAGGAAACCAAATGCTGTGATAACACCACCCGTAACCCCTCTTCGCCCAGTCGAGCGAAGTGGCGCATGAGAGGCGTCTGAGAAACAAACAAGTTTCACCCCATTCTTTCTTTCCAATCCTTGCAACATAGGGTGTGGTCTCCCATCGTCTCTGGGTGGGATGTCCGCCGGCATCCGAAGCACACTGTTCTGATCATTCTGCAAGAAACGTAGGACTGCCTTCAGTGCTTTCTCGGTGGCATCCGTTGGATTACTCTGTTGGGTAGCGAGCAGTCCAACCCAGGCACGAATGTCTTGTCGGGTCTGTGCAAACCAACTCAATTTTCCTAACGCCGCTCGGAAGCGGGAATAAGCTTCAGGACTCAACTCTGCGCTTCCTTGATCCAAGGTTCCAGTGATGTCGGGAGCCGCACGACTTCCTGTTCCTGGTTTCAACCCATAACTCTCGAATGTAGTCTTCAAGTAGTCATTGGGAAGTCCAACAAACACTGCCTTGTCACCTGGTTGCCTGAAAATCTGTCGTCCCAAGAACTTAAGTTGACCCTACTAATTCCGGCGAGACTTGGTCTAAGTACGGAATGAAAGCCAGAGTTTTTGGAGACCTGTTTTGGGGCATGCTCCCAAAAACGCAAAGATTCTGAGGACACTTTTGCTAACGGTTCATCAAGATGCACCAACGGATCATTTGGAAGTATACGTCCCAGGAAATATTCTGGTGGAAGTTTCAGTAGGTACAGTAGGGAGAGCGGCGCGCAGAAGATTGAGACCAATAGTCTTATAGTTACAGTGGACTGCGCTCAAAAAGCCCTACTCAAAAAACAAAAATAAACGTAAACTTTTGGAGATGTGGATTAAGTCTTTGTTTAGATGCGAGCCCCCAGCAGACTATGGTGATACAGCAAGGCAGCGCTAGATTGGCGTTAGGTTTCTTCATGACAGGATAAGCAAAGAAGAATCAAGCAGAGAGCAGGAAAAAGAAGAATCAAGACAAGAAAAAGGAAAAACAATCAAGGAGAAGAAGAATGCACAACAAGAAGAAGACAAGCAAGCAGGAAAACTAAGAACCTGACAGGATGAAGAAATCGACGGAGATTTTTGCGCTAGGCTGGCGCTAGATCCGCGCTAGCACTGCGCTAGACGACAGTCCATTTCTTGACCATTTGCCCATCCAACACCTAAATGGTTTGAGTCAGCTTTTACGTCCTTCCTATGTCGTTCTGAAAACTTCTGAGAATTGGAAACAACTGCAGAAGTCTAGCAGCAGCAGTAGCAGCAACAACAACAACAACAGCTCCGGCAGCTCAACAGGCCCCTGAACAGGTCCGCGCTAGACACCTCTCACAAAGGTTTTGCAGTTGACGTGCCTTCATATTGAACATCCCTGTGGTTTGAGTGTGGTTGGAGTCTAAAAGAGACTTAGAAGCGGGCCCCCATGGAATTGCGATGAGTGCACCATTTTGGGAAAAGACATTTTGGAAACCAACCATATAGTTTTTTCTATAAACAGTCCGGTAGTGCTCCCAACAGAGTACCTCAAATAAAGAGGCCAACGCAGCCTCTAAAGCATACCTTTAATGTGAGAGAGCATGCGCATACAAACAGAAACAGTTTTAGTTACTTGTGAGACCGCTATTGCCAACTGTCCTTGTGAGCTGCTTAAAGACGGTGAGACAAATCCTGGTAAATAGTTGGGAAAAGTATTAAGTATCCTGCCAAAACCTGTCTTGTAAATTGGCCCCTTGCCGCAACTTCATGGCCTCTATCGGGAGCATAAAACTATAGTTGAGTAGCAAACTTCCTTGCTAAATAAGTTGCCTCACAAACCAGGCCCTCACACACATGCTTACATGCGTATGGACACACTCACAAATGTACGTGCTCGGCACTGCTCGACCAAAAGGAGATGAGGCCAATGTTTTTTGGATTTGCGATGACTTGAGTCGGGGACAACCGTCTTAACACTTAACACGCCGGTTGTTTTTTCAGCTCATATATGTACTCAAGCTGCCAGCTCACAGTGCTGCACAGTTCGACAAAGCCAGACTTTGTCTGACAGGGAGGGAGTCCTTTGGTTCTCTATTAGATTTCCAAGTGAAATCAGCAGGCGTGAACAAATAACGCACAGAACGTACAACCGTATCACTGACACCAGATTCGGTAAAAGTAAAAGTATGCCGTGTTCCTTTGTGAAGCAAATCGTTCTTTTAAGTACGTCTACAGTCTTCTTAGACTACGGCTACAAAATCTGATTCATCACTTTGTGTTCATCATTCACTGCACTCACCCCTGCACGTAGAGCGCAAGAAAACCTGGGTCACGGCGGCATCACGGTCGCAGGTTGCGGTTGCCAATGAAAAGGCGAATGACTGGTGACAAGAGCATTGTTTGACCCAAGATTCATGTTGCGCTTTTGCTTTTGTGACTTCGTTGTCATGACTGTTGACCCACAAAGAGACACACAGTCACACACATCATACACGTGCAAAGTTGCAAAGTGTTCAAAGAGTGAACCAAACGCTGAACGTGAACGAAACTTCGATATGGTGATTTGATAACATGCAACAAAACTTTACTTTGAATTCACCAGTTCTACCCAGGTGGCAACCTTCTTTTGGTCCTGGTCGCTTCACATCTAATGTGTGTCTCTAACTCGGGATTGTACTGTGGTATTTCCCACATTCAGAGCCTGATTCGGCGCTGACGATCCACAGTGCTAGAGCAAACTTTGTTTGCTCTGAAATTGAAGGGAACCTCCCGGCGCCGGAACCTCCGCTCCAAATTCAAACACTGTTGTGCTGTGCTGAGTGTTGAATGTTAATGTTGAGTGCCTGATTTTTCAATTTGGACAAAATGAAACCAAAACATTGACCCACACATCAAATGCATAAAGCTAACTAGCGGCTGGCAGCTGGTGGCTGGCTGGTGGCACCCCTCTTTCGCAAGGGCTGATAATTGAACGACAAATTCAAACACCGTTCACCGCGCACTCGCACTGCGCACAGCGCAGTTGAGTTGAAGCTTGCTAGCAAAATGCCAAAGCAACGAAAGCGACTAGTCAGCCCTGTGATGGTCCGAGCGGCATGAGCTGAATCAGAGTTCAACATTCAACATTGAACACCTATTTCAAACGCTAACACCACCTCAGATGCAATAATGCAATGTTGTTGAAAGTTGAAAGTCAAAAGTCAAAAACAAACAACTGAATGCCAAAACTCTCAACACCTGGTTGTGCAGTCAGTGCATCTAGAAGCTAAAGCTACTACAAACAAAGATCTACAAAGTTGGTTTACTCTTTCGAACATTGTAATAATTGTCATTGTTGTCATCAACCCCCAAAACTCCAAAACCTCTCTCATCCTCAACCCGGCCGATTCGTGTCTAAGATGCTCACTCACTTCTTCTTCTTCGGCTGCGCTGTCGCCTTTGCCTTCCCCTTCGCCGCAGCGGCTGTTCTGCGGCGGTTCATCGATCTCTGCAACGACTCTGTGGCTTCCCGAGCAATCTTTGCTGCGTCAAGCTTGGAGATGTCGAAGTCAGGATGCCCAGGCCCAGGCTCGTCCGTGCTGGACCGTCGTCTCTTCCTACTTGCCAGCGACCCCATTGACTTCGGAGGGGATGCATTCTTCCCCTTCCCTGCTGCCTTGGCATTGGCAGCCGGCTTTTTGGTTGCAGCGGGCTTAGCCTTAGCCTTGCCCTTCGCCTTCGGTTTGGGAGAGGCCTTGGCCTTGGCCTTTCCCCTGGCTCTCCCCTTCGGCGCTGGCGCAGCCTTGGGTTTCGCTGCCACTGCATCTTGAGGTGACACAGCAGCAATGCCCAAATCGGTGTCCGATGAGGATGATGAGGCTGAGCTTGAACTTGAACTTGAGCTTGCTTTGCCTCCGGTAGCTGCAGCTTCACCCTCAACTGGAGCTGCAGAAGCAGTTGCAGTCGCAACTTTTGCCCTCTTTGCATCCCTGACGCGCTTTTCCAAGAACTTCGCTGTTCGCTTCCTGATTTCGGAAAAGCTGATGGTCTTCTTTCCTGACTTCGAGTCCACAGCGTGGAACTGATCCTCATATTGCTGGTTCGGAAAGATGTTGATGGACCCAAACAGCCCAGTAGCAGCCTGCTGGCCAGCGCAAACACCAGCTGCAACCAATAATTCTGCTTTCTGGACGGCCTGTTGAAGCAATTGTCAATTGTCCCAAAACTCCAAAAGCTCCAAAAGTTCTACAGAACAAAGCACACTGCACCCTTACCTTAACACAAAGCGTCTGTCAAACAAGGAAAAACGTTGAGTAGTTTATTGTCAGTCGAGTCTATATACTGTACTATATATAGTAACAGTGACAGTAATATACAATATATATATATATTATAGCTATATATTGTATACATAACTAACAATTTCCCAACCCTGGTCTGAGCCTGGTCAAGTTCAAGCGTTGTTGACGGGTTCAGTGCAGCATCACGCTCCCGTTCCTGCTCCACATCTTTGTCAGCATTTGCTGGAACAAGTCCGCTTAATGTCACCTCTTCTGCATCATTCGAAGGGGAAGCGGCTGCTGCTGTGGTTGAACCAGCGCCAACTGCCTGTTGGAAGCTCCAAAAAACTCTACTCCAAAATTCTACCCCAAACCAAGCCCAGGCCCTCTACAAGCCCCTAAACTGTTGAGTTTTGTTTCAGCTTTGAAGAACTACAAAGCCTGGCCTTGTCCTGGAGAGCCAGCTTGGCATTGGCGGCATTGGCACTGTCACTGTTCTCGTCGCCCTCCTTGTCTTCTGGCACTGGAACCAGGAGACCTTTGCCAGCGGCAGCGGCAGAGTCCTCTGATGGCTCTTGCTTGATTGCAATGAACGGGAGCAGGGAGTAGAGCTGATTCGCCAGCTGCAGGGCTGGGCAGCAATGTGAATGACCACACACTCCAGGCTAGATTTTAGGTCCTAGAGGCCTTGCATAGCATCAAACAGCTACATCACTAATAACCAAAAGACATCTCCACATGCATCTCACGTGCACAGTACACACACTGTACACGCCGTACACCTGCCTTGAATTCGTCTTCCAAGTCGGAACGGTCAACGCAGCAGTTGCGAAGCAAATACTCCAAATGCTCAGCCATTACTTTGCAATTGTGGTCTGTAAAGTGCTCTGGTACTGACCAAGCCAGGCGGACAAACTCAGAGTAATTTCCTGTTCATCGAGTTCAGCGCCCTGCAGGGAGGGAGTCGGGAAGCAAGAAATGACCCACATGTTACAAATATATATATATATATATTAGTATATATATATACACATGAAACCAATGATCAATGAGAAGTCCCAAAGTTGGCAGACTTGTATATGTAACTGCAATTCGTAACTGCAACCCTTCCTCTTCAACGGATTCATCCGCCAAATTGTGTTCCACCAAGATAGTAGCTTGTGGAATCCACATGAGGTCTCCAGCTGTCAAAAGCGCCCAAAACCCACCCAGCTCTTGAAACTTTGCATAGTCCATGTTGAGGAGGGTGCTGCAATGCAATCCAATTGCAGGTGGAGTGTCTCCTTTGGCATCTGAAAGATGCTTGCGTGTCGCGTTCAAAGGAATGCCCATGATTAAGCGGCGCCCGCGCAATTGCCATCGCAAGATGGGGGCACACAAATCACTCAAGCCGTTCCAGCTCCATTCAGGTCGACCATACATCAGCTTCAGAGCAGTGTGCCTGGAAATCGATAGACAAACACTTAAACATCATATAAGCATAATATAATACTAAAGAATCCATAACTGCAACTTGCATCCACCGAGGAAAAGAAAGGACTTCGCAATACAATGGCACAGGAAAGCAACAAATGCAGTCATGGTGCTTGGTCAATCTCTGTGGATCATTGAACATTGCAAGATTCATGCGAAGTCGCTCGAGGGCGTCACAGACAGGTTTGAGCTGCTGTTGAATGTTCTTTGGAAGGTCAGCGAGCGCCTGCAACAGTGCAGTGCAGTGCAGTGATACAAAGTGGTAAGTTTAAACTTAAACATGAAAAAACAATGATCTGAAGATTGGGTCATTGGGTCATTGGATCAGGAATGCAGAGTGTGTGCACAGAAGCAGCCAGGCCTTATCCAGTTGTGCAATTCCAAAGGATCTTCTTTGCATTGCATGTGGCTCTGCGCCGGCTCTGCAAAGCTTCGGCAGCACATCGTCATTTCGAAGCTCATCCACCTCAGCATTTGGTGGAAAGGCATCTGAGATAATGACCGGCTGGCCGTTGCCGAGGTCACCACCATAGGCGACGATGTCAGCGAGGTCAAGGTCGCTAGGAGGATCCACAACTGCTCCAAATTGGAGCACAGGCGCACCCTTCGCGTCGCTATCTTCACTCAAAACTCTTCCAATTGCATGAACCAAAGGGTATGATGGCAGGTGAGCCATACACTCCGGAAGGTCTGGGACTCCAGTCTCAGGTTCAGGTTCACGTCCCTCATGTAGTTCCTCTGGAGTCGGAGTCACAGTCGCAGCCGTAGTCCGCTTGGATACATGCTCAGGTTTGGCAGCATTCCCTTCGCCTGCAACACTAACCGTTCGATCTCGCTTCACCTGCTTGACTTCCTCCTCATGGTCCCCTCAGAACAATGGCTCAGCAGACTCGCTCCAGAACTCCAAAACAAACGACAACTATTCATAACTATTCACTGCAACCGACTCCAACTAAACAAAACCCTAAACCATTCCTAGTACCATGATGTACCTTGATACCACTTCTGAACCTGAACCAACCTTCCAGCCCAGCAAAACTTAGCTGCTGAATGCTGACATGACACATTCAGCTTGTTGACTAGAAAGCAGCAAGTCAAAGGCGTTGCTCAGGCTCGTGATGTAGGACCCCAGTCGCTCTCTGTACTTGGCGAAAATGGCAGGGTCCAATGAACCGGATGCGGAGAAAACGTGCCGCTTCCAAGACTTGCTATCCGGAGACAGGGAATGAACGTCAGCTGTTCCATGACCAAAAGCCTGTAGGATTGCCAGTCGTTTTTCAACAACTGAGCGATGGTCCTTGAGCTCAGCCATTGAGGAAGTAGCCTTCAACGCAATCTGAACTTCATTATCCCACTCATTTACAGACTTCTCCTCAGAAGCAAGACAAGAAAGTCAGGAAATGCAAATGAAGTTGTACTAAATCCAAATCTGCCGTGACTGGTAGCCTGAATTTACTGAATCCTGTTCTACTTCGCTAAGCCAAGAGTCAGTCTCACGTTGCAATTGCAGCTGTTTCTTCTTCAAGTCAAGCTGGTACAACTCCGGATCCCTCTTGGTTGGTTCCTTGGGCTCCTCGTCATCCCCCCTGCCCTTGCCCTTGGCCTTGCGCTTGGCCTGGCCCTTTGCTTTGGGGCGTCGTCCTCCCAACATCTCCACTGGCGCATCATGACCGGGTAGCACAGGCATAGATCTAAAATTGTTCATTCCTTATCAAGAACGCATAAACAACATAAAACTAAACAATGCAAAGTTTGCAAACATCGAGAATATAATAGAACAGCCAAAACACAAATTGGCAACCAACCAAAACTAAAGCAAGGATCTGGCAGTGTCAAAAATGCGGGTTTCCTGATGCAGTGATCCTTGCATGGCTGATTGCAAAGCGGCTGCTGGGTCCTCCTCATCTTCAAAGTCCCTTTGTGAAGTCACGCCCTCAAAACAGGAAGATCATTTCAGTGAGACAGAAAGACATGTGACACGATTGCTTAACAAAATGAGAGTGAATTCAATGTTTGAAGTCGAAATTGAAAATTGAAAGCTGAACACTGAAGACTGAACACTGAACACTTAAGACTTAAGGTTGTTGTTTGTTGTCATAGGTAAAATTTGTGAACAAGGTTTCGCCTTACGGTGTTCAAGGTCGCGTGTACTCCCTGCTGACAAGGACTTGAGGAAGGAGACCACCTCGTAGCCAAACTGGTCTTTCGACCAAATAGCTGATGGATTCACGCGAGCTGATTGCCACTCCATTTCACAGGCTTGTTCGTCCCAACCGTAGCGATCACTGAGCTCTCTAAAGAACCTGATGTCCAAATGAAGTCTGAAAGAATAACATCATTGGAGTGGATACACTGACTCTTTTTCCAGGTGTTCAAGACAACCCCAAGAGTGTGCTAAGTGACTGGAGTTTGGTAAGAAATGGAGCACCCAAGCCCATGGTGACTTTGTCAACACAATCAGCACTCTCTCGAACACTGGCATTGATAACACGTCGTACTCCTCGGCCAGTCCCTTTGTCCTTATTCTCAATGATAATTTTCTTCTTCTCTTCCAACCTCATCATGTCCCATTCCGACCCCCTGCCATTGTCACTTAACAAAGAGCAGACGCTCGTTGTTTTCAACTGGTATCAAGTCTACTTTCGAGTTTCGATTGACGGTGTGGTTGAGTATATGTGAATCATTTTGTTGGTGACCAACAAACCTAAGAAAGGGCATGAACTCAGTAAACACAATACTGTGCACTGTGCACTGCCTACAATTCAGCCAACCCAACAGCTCACTTCAATCAAGCCAGGTGCACCGGTTGTTCTTCTGATAATATGTTCTCAAAGCCCTCCGTGCATTGTTGCACTTTTTGCAGCGCCGTTGCTTGCTGCGGGCACCTCCGACTGCTATAGATGTTTCGGCAGTGACCTCTTCGTCACAGTCGATGCACCTTTGCAGAAAGTTGCAAGATTTACTTGTTGTTGCAGTGTCATTATTGTTCTAGTCATTGCTAGAAGTTTGGTTCTCTGTGGGTGCAGTGCTGCATTAATGAACTTTATTGATAATATATAATGTAAATATATATATATATAAATTCCTTCAGTTGTTATTTTACATTTAGGTGCTTTGACTTTCAATACGTTCCCAAAAGAAAACCAAAAACATATCAAATCTCAGGACAGCACTCAAAAAACGGTGCCGGGATGGACATTGTCATCTTTCTTGCCCTTGGCCTTCAAGACCGTTGGCTCCCCGTCTGCGGCCTCTCGGGCAGCAGACTTGTGTCCTGCCTCGCCTTCCAATCCACAATCATCCTCAAGAGCACTCTCCGCACCAGTCGCCTGCAGGGCCGGGGCAAATGTGTTTCTTGACCTACATTTGGAGCAAAGAGTTATATACACCCAGACCCAGATTGAAGCAAGTTCAAAGTTCCAAGCAGTCTAGCCAAGCTGCTGAGACTGCTGAGTGGCGGGATTCTCTGCTGCAAGGTCGTTCTCAGCACTGAGAGCCACACGCAGATGACCTAGATGAAAGCGACCTCACCAGCACTGGCGTCCCAGACTGCATTCTCTGACTCCTATTCTGCATTGGTGTGTCTGCCCTCACCAATGCTGATGGTGGCCGCAGCAGCGGTGCTTCATCCTCATTCCACACTTGAGTTTTCTCAACTGGTGCTCCAACATAAGGAACGATGGCAAGCCCGCGCCGCCGCGGTGTCAGCGAAGATCTCATGGTCCTCCACTCCAGCTCTAGTAGTTCTAGTCTAGCCTAGCTTCCTTACACGGATGCCTCAAGCAAAATGCTGCAACGTTACAGTTACAATTGACAATAGTGTGTGCACACCTGACTCACCTGACAGTTTCATAACAGTCTATCAGTG